GTAGTAGGATGTCATATAGAACAGTAACATCCTTCGTAGTAGGATGTCATATAGAACAGTAACATTCTTTGTAGTAGGATGTCATATAGAACAGTAACATCCTTCGTAGTAGGATGTCATATAGAACAGTAACATTCTTTGTAGTAGGATGTCATATAGAACAGTAACATCCTTCGTAGTAGGATGTCATATAGAACAGTAACATCCTTCGTAGTAGGATGTCATATAGAACAGTAACATTCTTTGTAGTAGGATGTCATATAGAACAGTAACATTCTTTGTAGTAGGATGTCATATAGAACAGTAACATTCTTTGTAGTAGGATGTCATATAGAACAGTAACATCGTTCGTAGTAGGATGTCATATAGAACAGTAACATCCTTCGTAGTAGGATGTCATATAGAACAGTAACATCCTTCGTAGTAGGATGTCATATAGAGCAGTAACATTCTTTGTAGTAGGATGTCATATAGAACAGTAACATTCTTTGTAGTAGGATGTCATATATAACAGTAACATCGTTCGTAGTAGGATGTCATATAGAACAGTAACATCCTTCGTAGTAGGATGTCATATAGAACAGTAACATCCTTCGTAGTAGGATGTCATATAGAACAGTAACATTCTTTGTAGTAGGATGTCATATAGAACAGTAACATTCTTTATAGTAGGATGTCATATAGAACAGTAACATCGTACGTAGTAGGATGTCATATAGAACAGTAACATCCTTCGTAGTAGGATGTCATATAGAACAGTAACATCCTTCGTAGTAGGATGTCATATAGAACAGTAACATCCTTCGTAGTAGGATGTCATATAGAACAGTAACATTCTTTGTAGTAGGATGTCATATAGAACAGTAACATCCTTCGTAGTAGGATGTCATATAGAACAGTAACATTCTTTGTAGTAGGATGTCATATAGAACAGTAACATCCTTCGTAGTAGGATGTCATATAGAACAGTAACATTCTTTGTAGTAGGATTTCATATATAAACGTAACGAATTTTCAATAAGTTGGGATAATGAGTTACAGAGTGACGGTATTTTATTTTGAGCAGCCTGAGAGTTAAAAGGGGGGAGGGGGCACTTTAATAAACTCTAACAACATTGGGGAGCAAATGACTTTTTATAAAAATAAATTAGAACGACGCATTGTACCATACAAGCCATAGATGCTTTGTTTGTATAGCTTGTGTTATGATCTCAACCAGTATCACAATCCAGTGGGACTTGCTTTACTTTACATCCTTTACAATGTGTGATGAGTTGGGGAGATTCTGGGGAGCATTCTTTTGAACCCCACAATTACACACACACACACACTATCACACACACACTCATACACACTCGCAGAAATGATCTTTTACTCCGAGTATGACATCACTATCCTCTTGGACTACAGCTTATTCCTATTTATTCCTATTTATTTCTATTCATTGGTATTCAATCTTGCATACTAAGGCTTAATCGGATGCAGTTATTTTACACCGGGTCCGTGTGGGTCCGTGTGGGTCCGTGTGGGTCCAAGTGTTACAAAAATTAAGAGTTAACTTCTCATTTTCTATAATATATACCGACATTTAAACAATATTCCTACAGACAGTCCTACATCCTACATGCCAGCCTTTAAACAAGAGTCCTACAGACAGTCCTACATCCTACATGCTGGCCTTTAAACAATAGACCCACAGACAGTTCCACACCATACCGCTAACTCTTCATTGATTGCTATAATAGTCTCCTCCCATACAGTAAGTTTTAAAAAAAAACAAACAAAAACAACTTTTACCCGAGTTCAACAATTAGGGATGACACTCGTTTGGTGAAAGCCTTTTCCCCACTCAGTAGTATTGATATGAAACGTGGAGTTGGGGGAAGGGCGGTTTTTAAAAGGAAACACGACATACCAGAACCAAAATATATGTAAAACATGCATGCTTTTATAAGCTTTATGCCTAACAAGTATGAATACATCGTATAACTAAATGTCTAAAGTATAAAATGTATACATCATAAAAATAACAAACATATTTAATCCCAAGCGAGAGTTGAACCAAGATTAGAATAAGCCACCGTAGCTTTCTACTTACTGTTCATATATCAATAATCAATATGTATATGTACTTGCAAATATAAATACAGTTGATAAAGAGCAAAACACTAAAATATAACAGTTTATAATAAACAAATGTTAATGACTTCTTTTCCTGTGACTTTTGTCCTGTGACTTTTGTCCTGTGACTTTTGTCCTATGACTTTTGTCCTGTGACTTTTGTCCTATGACTTTTGTCCTGTGACTTTTGTCCTGTGACTTTTGTCCTATGACTTTTGTCCTGTGACTTTTGTCCTGTGACTTTTGTCCTGTGACTTTTGTCCTGTGACTTTTGTCCTGTGACTTTTGTCCTATGACTTTTGTCCTGTGACTTTTGTCCTGTGACTTTTGTCCTGTGACTTTTGTCCTGTGACTTTTGTCCTATGACTTTTGTCCTGTGACTTTTGTCCTATGACTTTTGTCCTGTGACTTTTGTCCTATGACTTTTGTCCTGTGACTTTTGTCCTGTGACTTTTGTCCTGTGACTTTTGTCCTGTGACTTTTGTCCTGTGACTTTTGTCCTGTGACTTTTGTCCTATGACTTTTGTCCTGTGACTTTTGTCCTGTGACTTTTGTCCTGTGACTTTTGTCCTGTGACTTTTGTCCTGTGACTTTTGTCCTGTGACTTTTGTCCTGTGACTTTTGTCCTGTGACTTTTGTCCTGTGACTTTTGTGCTGTGACTTTTGTCCTGTGACTTTTGTCCTGTGACTTTTGTCCTGTGACTTTTGTCCTGTGACTTTTGTCCTGTGACTTTTGTCCTATGACTTTTGTCCTGTGACTTTTGTCCTGTGACTTTGGTCCGGTGACTTTTGTCCTGTGACTTTTGTCCTATGACTTTTGTCCTGTGACTTTTGTCCTGTGACTTTTGTCCTATGACTTTTGTCCTGTGACTTTTGTCCTGTGACTTTTGTCCTGTGACTTTTGTCCTATGACTTTTGTCCTATGACTTTTGTCCTGTGACTTTTGTCCTATGACTTTTGTCCTGTGACTTTTGTCCTGTGACTTTTGTCCTGTGACTTTTGTCCTGTGACTTTTGTCCTATGACTTTTGTCCTGTGACTTTTGTCCTGTGACTTTTGTCCTGTGACTTTTGTCCTGTGACTTTTGTCCTGTGACTTTTGTCCTGTGACTTTTGTCCTGTGACTTTTGTCCTGTGACTTTTGTCCTGTGACTTTTGTCCTGTGACTTTTGTCCTGTGACTTTTGTCCTGTGACTTTTGTCCTGTGACTTTTGTCCTGTGACTTTTGTCCTGTGACTTTTGTCCTGTGACTTTTGTCCTGTGACTTTTGTCCTGTGACTTTTGTCCTGTGACTTTTGTCCTGTGACTTTTGTCCTGTGACTTTTGTCCTGTGACTTTTGTCCTGTGACTTTTGTCCTGTGACTTTTGTCCTGTGACTTTTGTCCTGTGACTTTTGTCCTGTGACTTTTGTCCTGTGACTTTTGTCCTGTGACTTTTGTCCTGTGACTTTTGTCCTGTGACTTTTGTCCTGTGACTTTTGTCCTGTGACTTTTGTCCTGTGACTTTTGTCCTGTGACTTTTGTCCTGTGACTTTTGTCCTGTGACTTTTGTCCTGTGACTTTTGTCCTGTGACTTTTGTCCTGTGACTTTTGTCCTGTGACTTTTGTCCTGTGACTTTTGTCCTGTGACTTTTGTCCTGTGACTTTTGTCCTATGACTTTTGTCCTATGACTTTTGTCCTGTGGCTTTTTTTCTGTGACTTTTTGTCTGTGAATTTTTTTCATGTGATTTTATTACCTGTGCCTTTTTTTGGGGGAGGGGGGTTACCTGTGACTTTTGTCCAAATGACTTGTTTTCCTCCATTGGAGACACTTCACTGCTATGCTATAAAATTAAACACTACCTCCTTTCTTTCTGAAGATATGCCGGAAATTCTGCCTTCATCGCCCTGGTTGCCGCCGAGGACGGCATCGACGCTGCGAGGTACCGGAAGTGGGCCGTTGAACAGATCAACTACATGCTGGGGGACAACCGTCACGATGGCGGATGCTACAGCTACGAGGTGGGCTACGGCAGGAAGTATCCCTTGAGACCCCACCACGCAGGGGCGTCGTGCCCCAACAAACCCGCCACCTGCGGCTGGCCGCAGTACGAGACCACGGCGCCCAACCCACACGTGCTGCAAGGCGCTCTGGTGGGTGGACCGGATCAGAACGACAACTTCCGTGACGTCAGGTCCGATTACGTTCACAACGAGGTCACCACGGACTACAACTCTGGTTTCCAAGGGGCGCTTGCTGGCATCTTACATCTCCAGGCCGTAAACCAGTTTCCCACCACCAACAATAAATGTCCCTGTAATGCATAAACTTTGAGATATACATTTTGATATAAGCAATGTTAGGATTCCCCCCATTAAACAATACACTTAGGTAGTACTTAAGGTGGTACTGTTTGAGGTATGAAGCACTTTTAACTTAAAACATTCATTATGTTGATTCATTTTTGGCAGTTCTTAAATTTTAAAACAGAAAATGAAAAAAAAAATCTAAAAATGTATTAATTCATATAAATAGCATAATATGAAATCAATTTAGTTGACTTATTATTTTCTGTACTTTATTGTCAATCGTTCATTATTTTCATGTGAGAATATTCCAAGTTGTTTATTAACACGAAACTGGCCTGTCAGAGTGTCATGGTGAGATAATCAGGGGCGGTTCCTAGCTTTTCCTGCATGCTTATCTGCCCATATGTCTGACACACTAAGCACGTAGTATAAAGTTTGCTTGTGTTTATTTATTTAATTATAGGAAGATTACTTGGTCCAGATAGATTGAAAGACAAGCACACAGAGAAACACACAAACGCACAGAGAAACACACAAACACACAGAGACACACAAAAAGCACATAGGCACACACAAACACACAGAGATACATAAAAACACACACACACACACAAACGCACAGAGACACACACAAACACACAAAGGCACACACAAACACACAGAGACACACAAACTCACATAAGCAAACTTAAACACACAGAGACACACATAAACACACAGAGACACACACAAACACAAATAGATACCCACAAACATACAAACACACACACAAACACACATAGGAACACACAAACATACAGATACACACACAAACACACACACACACACAGAGACACACACAAACACACAGAGACACACAAACTCACATGAGCAAACATAAACACACATAGACACACATAAACACACAGAGACACACACAAACACAAATAGATACCCACAAACATACAAACACACACACAAACACACATAGGAACACACAAACATACAAATACACACACAAACACACTCACACACAGAGACACACACAAACACACAGATACACACACAAAGACACACACAAACACACATAGAAACACATAAACACACAAATACAGACACACAGAGACACACACAAACACACAGAGACACACACAAACACACAGAGACACACAAATTCACAGAGACATACACAAACAAACAGGGACACAGATATATAAGCATCGACACTTTGGAACAAAAATAACTATACAAGATAACAGCATGCACAGAAACCAACGCAGGTTTACAGCAAACAGCACACACAGGAGCAAACAAACATTTACAGCAAACAGCACACATTGTAACAAATGCAGGTATACAGCAAACAGCACACACAGTAACAAAAGCAGGTATACAGCAATCAGCACACAGAAACAAACAAAAGTATACAGCAAACAGCACACACAGTAACAAATGCAGGTATACAGCAAACAGCACACTCAGGAACAAACACAGGTATACAGCTAACAGCACACACAGTAAGAAACACAAATATACAGTGTCACAGAACAGTTGTTGCGGAGGAGGGCTCCGGTCCCGACTTATCACAAACTGTATTGATTTAGTAGTGGTCAGTACAAGACCGCTCCTGTCTGTGATTTATATTGTGGGTATCTGGGCGTTGGGACAGACAAAAGCACAACGTTGACTTGAATGAAATCCAAACAACTGGAACATTTCTTTTGCTGCCCACGGATACAACTTCTAAGCTAAGTGCTATTTTTTATATTTGTTTTTATACCGTTTTTCCTGTTGTTTTGTTCGCTGACGAAGGCTTTCTGCCGACACGTTCGTTGTTTTGTTGGGTTCCTTTTTTTCAGGTTTAACCCTACTTTGTTTTACTCATTTTATATCGTGCTAACCTCATTGCAGTCTCTCCCCTTATTACCCAACTCAAACTCAAGATATCCAGATGCTACGAGATAATGTCTGTATTACTAAAATATAAAAAGCTCTTCTGTAGTCCTCACTAATTGTCAACTATCTATATGAGTGGTTCTCAACCTGTGGGTCATGTCCCCTTTAGGGGTCGAACAACCCTATAACAGGGATCAGCTAAGACCAGGGGACTCAAAGTCGCGGCCCGCGGGCCATTTGCGGCCCGCAAGACGATATTTTGCGGCCCGCTACCTTACAGCAAAGTTTAGTGTTAATGCGGCCAGCGGGTTTTCCTCATTCTTATATCTATAATGTGACCTTCCGCGACGGTTTCAGTCGAATCTCACCGACTTGTCTAATTCTGATTTTTATAACGTTTGTATAGGTATGAACGTTGATTATAATGGTAAAAACTCGTTTTAAAAATTGAACTAAAAGGTTTTATTTTATAGCATTTGATGAACATTTGTATGGGACAAACATGGCGGCCAAAGTGCGGTTTTGAGAAAAGTTTAAAAAGTCAGTTAGTGGATAATGCCCAGCCATAATTGTGTAAATCGTAGCAGTCTGACACAATGTCAAAGAAGTTCTATTAAAATTGACCGCTAATGTTTACGAGTGAGAAAAATTTCGAGACTGTTAGTTTGGTCACTTTCAAAATAGGGTTAGTCAAAAAGGGGCTTTTCTACGATGAGAAATCTAAATTAATTCTCCCTACAATAACATCTTCCTTCGCATCAATATTACATACATATTGCCGGCTCCAGCCTATTTATTAGAACACGTTTTTGCCTCCAAAGCCTTCATGGAGAATGATGGAGTGGTTGTTCCTGTTTTGTTGTTCGTCCGTCGACTTTGATGCTGTACTAAGTTATCCAAAATGGCTCATGGACTTTGCTTTTATTGATTAATTAAACAGGAACGGAATGTACTCAGCAAGTAGTTTACAAGACCAGAGGGAACATGTCAGTGTTGCCTATGACAATGTCAGGGCATTTTTGCACAGAACTTGTGTTATGGCTCTCAGAGAAACCTCTGCCGTTTCCCAACACCATTCAGTAGTAAGTCTACTGATGCCATTGCAAAGCTACAGGAAGAATTTGATCAGATGTTTTCAGACTTGAAAACACACGAGACACTTTTCACACTCACATTTTGCTGACTCTGTCTCCTACAATTTGGAATATGCCCCCCCCCCCCCTCTTTTTTTTTTTTTTTTTTTTTTTTTTTGCGCTTCAAAGGGAGCTGACTGATCTACTGTGCAATTCTGAAGTCAAGGCTAAGTTAAGGAAGGTCAATGGGAAAACAAACCATCTTGACAATTTATGAGAGTATTGCCCTCCACCTTCTCCGAGATTTCAAGGTTCTTCAATGGAATCATGTACCTTTATTACTCAATGTAATATATCGATGATGTGTCTAGGTAACTATTTGAGAGTGACTCAATGTAATAATTTGATGATGTGTCTAGGTAACTATTTGAGAGTGACTCAATGTAATAATCGGATGATGTGTCTAGGTAAATATTTGAGAGCGACTCAATGTAATAATTGGATGATGTGTCTAGGTAACTATTTGAGAGTGACTCAATGTAATAATTGGATGAAGTGTTTAGGTAAATATTTTAGAGTGACTCAATGTAATAATTTGATGATGTGTCTAGGTAAATATTTGAGAGCGACTCAATGTAATAATTGGATGATGTGTCTAGGTAACTGTTTGAGAGTGACTCAAAGTAATAATTGGATGATGTGTCTAGGTAACTGTTTGAGAGTGACTCAATGTAATAATTGGATGATGTGTCTAGGTAAATAAAAGAGTGACTCAATGTAATAATTGGATGAAGTGTCTAGGTAAATATTTGGGTGTGATTCAATGTAATAATAAAATGATGTGTCTAGGTAACTATTTGAGAGTGACTCAATGTAATAATTAAATGATGTGTCTAGGTAACTATTTGAGAGTGACTAAAATGTAATAATTGGATGATGTGTCTAGGTAACCTTTTGAAACAACTGGGGGATACTACTTTTTCACTTTTAAAGATGCCTACACGAAGGCCTGAAATCTGGGCATCATGTATGACATGATCAAGTGGCCATTGGACTACTTCCTGATGGCCTGGGATGCCAACAAACAAGAGTTTACCTACCAGGTGGGAGACGGGGACCTTTATTATCATTACTGGGGTCGGCCTGAAGAAATGACCATGGACAGACCCTGTCTGGTGATCAACTTTTCTATCATGGTTCGTAAACATTGCTTCATTAATGTTCTTGTCAAGAGAGATAGTGAAAATTGAATGAAAGAGATCATTTAAAATGTGGTTAATATTAACCTTAAATTTAAATCCACTTTTAATATATATGTTATGGACTTTTTGTCTATTTACACATATTCTAAAATAGGAGACATATTTTCTTACAACACGAGATACACACTAACATTGGGGTTAACTGTCACAGTGATTGTAAATTGGCTTTTAAATTTAATTGCAACATTTATAAATTTAGATGTGTTATAAAAGAAAATCTAATATAAAATACAAGTTTTCAAATCTAACCTAAATATTATATCGTATCGACCAAATCTGTGGCATGTCCTATTTGTATGTAGCCCCCCACTCCCCTTTTATTTAGCCTTGTGAAAGTCTTTTGCAGTCTGCTTCCTATGGAGTGTGTAAAAATATATTTCATTTAAAATACATTTTGCCCAGTGGGCTTTTAATATCCAGGTCCAAAATGAATTTAAAAAAAAAAAAAACCAACAACAAATTTTATTTAGGCGTGTGAAAGTCTTTTGCAGTTTGCTTCCTATGTAGTGTGTAAAAATATATTTCATTTAAAATACATTTTGCCCAGTGGGCTTTTAATATCCAGGTCCAAAATGAATTTAAAAAAAAAAAAAACCAACGACAAATTTGGTATGGTTCATTCCCATGAACTGAGTGTCACGAGCTCCTAGGTCTAAGTTCCACCCTTTCTGACACCAACTTGTTTGTACACAACAAGGAAACACAACAAACATACACTAACAAAGAAGTCTTTAATTAACTTAAAATAACTACTTCTAGTTTATTATCTACAATGTATAAATGAATGAAATGAAACTCAATGTATACAGCGCAACATATGATATAATGTAATTGTAACTTATATTTAAAAATACACTAAGAAACTTATGTTTAAAAGTACACTAAGAAACTTATACAGGTTGCCCTTTAATCTCAATAATTCCAGCACATCTGCTGACAACGCCTGCACGAGACAGGCACTTTAGTTTACGAC